TTTAGCTATCTAAGCTCATTTTCACCGATTAAATGACATTCTTAGCATTTTCCATAACATGCTCTAAGCTCCATTCTTCCTAGAACATAGCTAATTCAACTACATTTCATCAAAATCCCAATTTACTATTCATAAACCCTAACTCATGCAAATTTCAAGGAATCATGAGGTTCAAGGGTTAGAATCTTACCACCAATGGTCACACAACCAAGCAAGGAGTGTTCCTCAAGCTCCCATGGAGGTTGAACTTCCCAAAACCCCAAAATCACTCAAATGGTCGAATTTTTGAGGGTCAAAATCTCTCTCCACAAAGCTCCCAACTAAGAACTAAGCAAGGATTATGAAAGAGGAGGATATTTGGAGTGGTTTAGGCTTTGGAATCACTCAAAATGGTTGAGATTTGCTCTCTCTCTCTCTCTTCCTCCCTTTCCCTCCTTCTCCTTCTTCTTCCTCTCTTCTTTTCTCTGATTCTGGCGACGGGAAAAATGGGGTGGGAAATGGGTTTCTTTTGTGTTTTTAAGTCACTTACTTGGTTAAGTGACTTATGTGGGTATTGGTTCGTCTATCTATTCAACTCCAATAATTACCAAACTTTAACCAAAAGTCTGGAATATTATTCTAGGAATATTACTATTTTTATTTTTATATTTTGGGTACTTTTGCCAGTACTCATTTATACACCTTAATTTTCACTGAGTACACTTTTTAACTCCAAAGTGACTCAGATTCATTTAATTAAGCCTTATACTTAATTTTACTCACTAAAACATGCTTAATTATTTAATTAAAATTAATCAATTAAATGCTTAAGTTTGAGGTATTATATTTAACTTCACTGGTTTAGCATGTAAGTTACATTTTTAATTTTGATCATTAATCATATTTATATCTAACCGTTCTGATTTGTTAAATATATTAACCCTAAATATAAACAGATGAATTATTATTAAATTTGAATACAAAACTTCTTATAATATATCCTCATGCGGGTGAAGAGTACTTTACCAATGGATTGTCGACCATTTTAAAGTGAACACATCTTCGCAGTCATTTTACTTAGGGGTGGCAATTTGGGTTGACCCGCCTCACTCCACCACTAACCCGCTAAAAACGGAGCGGGGCGGGTTGACTCGCCAAAAAATATGGGTTGAAAAAATGAACCCACCCCATTTTATGGTAGGTTGGCGGGTTACGGGTCAACCCACCAACCCACCAATTAAAAAATTTTTTAATTAAAATTCAAAAAAACATTATATTTTATGAATTTTTCTAATATTATATTATTTTATTCCACACTTCTCTATATTTTTTTAGTCTCAATCTTAAATGTATAATAATATTTGTCAAACATTTTTTAGGAATTTATATATAGATAACATTTGTCATAAATAAAATTGTTATTCTTTATTTTTTCTAGGAAGTAATAAGATAAAAAATAAATTTAGATATCACAAAAATTTAAGGACTAATGAAATACTACCTAATTGTAAAAAAAAAAATAAAAAAAAATTATAACCCGACGGGTCAACCCGTCGCGCGACGGGTTGAACTCGTTTTGATCCACTTCTAGGCGGGGCGGGTTGAGGTGGATTGAAAACCTCAACCCAACCCGTCCCGTTTTGGCGGGTTGACCTGCCAGGCTCAACCTATATTCTCACATCTAATTCTACTATTAAGGCCGGCTAATTGAATTTCTAATAAATTGGAGATTTCAAAGAGTAGAAGCAACAAGTGTGGGGTTCTGCTACCCCACCTAGACAAATAATCAAATAAGCAAATTATTGCAATTTACGCCATCATCGAATTTTATATATACTATGATGTGAACACTTGACATGTCTATCTCTGTTGGTATTCTTTTAGATTTTATGTAAAACGTAACAACAATATTCTCCTTTCTTTGTGACCCCATGACACTTGATTTTCAAGTTAATTTATTACTTACAAGTACTACTATACAATATTTCTCTGCAAAATGACAATTTTTAATAAGTGATCTCCAAACAAGACCTTTCAGCATACTATATTTTAGCCCTGAATGATTGAAAATAATTCAAAGCGTGTCATGGAGTAGTGTCCCAAGGAAAACTAAAAAAAAAAAAAAAAAAAGTTTAAAAGACTCATTCAAGTGTTTGGAAGCTCTTGGACTATCCCGAAGTTTTTTTCTTGCTGGAGACTTTCTTCAGTTACATGCATAACGTACAAAGAAGAGATCATCAAATGCTCAAATGTTCTAGAACATCTTCCCATCACCCTTCATAAAAAAACAGTACTAAACTCATTGTCAAAGTAGTTAAGGGAGACCGGGAGAGACGAATATGAGTACATATGTGATATATGATGGGAAATCCATCGGTAACGTTGCATGATATCAAAACACTTTCCTGCAGAGACAACAATTGGAGAGAGAAACAATTCTAAGGAGAGAGAAACAAATATTAGTGGGTCCCATGTCAAGTGTTGTCTCTGTAGGAATTTTTTTTGCTTTCCTGTGACATTACAAATGTATTACCCATATATGATAAAAATATTGTTTTTTCACCCATATATTGTATGGTTAGGTGGTGTATACAACCCAACTTGTGCAAACCCCAATTGATTTATCTCTCTAGTCTAATCAAAGACAAGCCATCCATGCACATTGAAATTTGGAGATTCATAAAGATATTCCTTACCAATAGCTTGGTGCTAATTAATTAAAATCGACATGCTTGTACACCACTTAACGAAACCCATCATGGGTTATAAGGTGCTTAATGTGTCTTTTATTTGGTACAATAAATGACGTGTGTTTCTGTCATACAATTCTGAAGTTCAATTACTTCTACGGCGTTTGGTACGAGAGATATTTTTTTCATTGAGAAGAAAAGGATTTCTGAAAATATGAAGGGAAATTTTTTTTGTCAGGTAAGTTACAAAAAGATGTTTGGTACGACAAAATTTTGTCAGGAATATTATGTTAATTTTACAAATGCTATGTTTGGTTATTTGTAAAATATTGATGAGAATCTTAATCTAAATGACAAAATTATCCTTATTTTTAAATTTTGAAATGCCAAAATTGACATCAAAAAATTTGACACTACTGTCCCTTATTTGCAGTAAGCTGTTATTATTATTATTATTATGTTTGTTCCATAATGCAAAAACGACAACGTCAATTGAGCTAAGTAGAAAACGCAGATGTATTATGTGAGGACATTTTGATCTCCAAATTTTTGTACAAGAATCTGAGATGCGGGGAAAAATAAAAACCATGGGAGAAATGGATTTATTTTTTTAGCAATGAGTAGTTAGAAATTAAAATGATGAGGAAAATTTTTTCCCAGGATTATTTTAAAAAAAGCTCGTAACAAACATGGGAATAAAATTTTTCACCACCATTTTCTCCAAAAAGCTGATACCAAACACCCCTTACTCTCTCAAAATTTCTCGATATCTTACTTGATAGCCATAGAAAGTAGTCTTGAGCCAAATGCCAAAACACGGGATTTTTTTTTTTCCAAATTAAATTTAGAATATAAACAAGCTTGTCATCACATTGCATAATGTGCCAGTCATTGTTTAGTTCTCTTGCAGTAGGTAAATAAGTAGATTGGGTAACTTATCCGATATAGCTGTAACATCTCCGTCTAAAGCTAATTCAATTAACACACTTAATCTTAACATACACCAACCTCAAAACCCTCACAATTTATGTAATTAAATTTTTGCACATTAAATCCTAAATAACCTATCATGGTCGAATTCTAGGGTGTGGTCAAGGGAGATTTTTTTCAAATTTTAAACACATGTTCATGTTTAATCTACATTATAACTTACTACACAACACCAATTTCAAATTTCAAACTCAAAGTTTCCCACCAAAACATACTTCAAAATTTCAAAACTTAAATCATGAAAATCAAACTATGGAAATAGAGATTTCTTACCTCTAATCCCTTACACAAAGCGTAGAGAACAACTTCCAAGCAAAACTCCATCAAAAACTTCAATTTTCACACTTGATAAATAGTAACTCGAAAAAGGGGAAGGGAAGAACTTCTCACACAAGCAATTTTAGCCCAAACGAAGTAGGGGAATGAATTCCTTGAATGATTACTATCAATTTTGTGTAATGGACTTAAGGATTTGGTCGAGTACGGAGGGAGAAATCAAAGAAAGAACAAAGCTTGAAACCTAGCCATTCCATGAAGGTGAAGCTCGGCCTTGGAGAGAGAGAAGGAGAGAAATCTGGTATGAATAGTGACTTGCTTTATTGACTTGGACTTATATGCACATGTGGCATTTTACTGGTTGTTTTTCTCTCGCATATTTTCACTTAAACTGACCCGGAACTAACTTAAAGCTACAGACATATTTTTATTTTTCTGAACTTATTTACATTAATTTTTATTTTCTAAGAAAAAATATTAATAATTCACAGTATGATTTCAGCACCGTTTTTGACGAAATGCACGGTGAATCACTAACTGTGCACCGTTTGCATATGAAATGTAACATCCTGGGCGCTAATGAAAATATATTGCAAGTTGCCAGGCGTTACACGAAACTTGAAACTTATTAACTTATCATTCTTGGGTCTATTATGACTTGTTTGACATATATTAGACTTTCTTATTCTTATTCCATCAATTATTTAGTTCCGGACTCTACCGGTTGCTTAAAAAACGGTACAAATATCTGGTAGAAAATACTATTCACGAGATTTTCTCAGAAAGTGCCATACTATACAATTTTTTGTTTTGAACTCATATTTGGCATCAGAATTGTCAAATTAGGTCTCTAAACTCATTTTGCTCATTCACAACTCTACCGGTTATTTCACAACAATGCAGATCATCTAGCAGAAAGCATTGTTCATGACCTAGTCATGATTACAATCAAAATACTCGAAATCATGCTCTGAATCTAATTATGATATTTAAATCCTTAAATTAAATCTCTAATTAAGATTTACGAGATAAGTTCATTATAATAGCCATTTTGCATACGTCGTTATGGTTCTTGCTGATGCTGTGAATAGCAAACTACCTTCGAATCTTTCTCTTCTAAAGTCGGCAAATTCCATGTAATTCAATTTCGCTATCGACCAAGAACAGTGCATGGAAGCCTCTATAGAACTGGTCATCAGCCATGTATATATGATAGTGATCTTAATCATAAGACAGTACTTGATGTACATATGACTTTCTTTTTATATATATTGCTGAGACTATATATTGGGAAGAGATTGTTCTTTCCTATTGCCATTGTATTTTACTAGTTCTTCTCTTTGTTTTGAATTGGTTACTCAAAAGTTTTCTCCAGACTAGCTATAGCCATGGTATTTTTTTTTTCTTTGTTTAAATGCATGCACCCCATTTAGCTCACCGTTTCCGTGTTAATTTCTTGCATGCTGCTTACATCTTCATCATTTTCATGCAGGAAAAGTCTGAGGTTGTTGATGGGAATGTAGAGTGGATGCACGAGGAGGAGAAAGGAGAGGTGGTTGAAGGAAAAGTTGATTGGAAAGGAAGAAGAGCTCTGAAACACAAACATGGAGGGATGACAGTTTCTTTGCTCGTACTAGGTAAGGACTAACTCAGTATGGTATGGCTTCATTTCATGGACATTTTACTTTTTAATAAGTTGAAATAAGAACCTAATGTTAAGGTGTGGATTATATCAAGAGTACTAACCAAGAGAAAGGAACATGTATGCTTCTTTCTTTCTTTTTCTTTATCCTTTTGGGGTCACAATCTGGTTTGAAAAATGGAGGGATTAGTGTTGGATGAGAACTAATCCCTGAAGTAATGCCATGCTCGGTATCCCACCTTTCAAGTTTCCAAAAAAAGTCTTTAATTTGATGACCACTAAGGCACTAACTATTCATATACAAAACCAGAAAATTTCATACACTACTCGTTTTTGAGGGTCAGGATTCTCTTTGTAGTTTTTTTGTAGTTAATTGATGCTGTGGCTCTTATTTGGGTTTGGATGCAGCCATGACTGTTACCGAGAACATGGCAACTATCTCACTAGCAGTGAACTTGGTGACATACTTCAATGGGATTATGCATTATGATATAGCAGATGCAGCTAACATGGTCACTAACTTCTCCGGTGTTGCTTACATACTCTCCATTGTGGTGGCCATTGTTGCGGATACATGGATTGGCAGATACAAATGCGTTCTTATCTCTGGCTTCTTTGAGTTTTTGGTAAGATTCAAAAACACCCTCCTCCCAATTGCCAACATTCTATAAAAAGTTATTCATTATTATTGGTAATAGGCTATAAAAGAGTACATAACACTCAAGACTAACAATCAGCTACAACTGTTTGTCTGTTAGTTTGACCAAACATAGCTGTGTGCCCTTGTAAAGAGTAATTTTTTGGTATATTTAAAAATTATTTAATTAGAAATGCTTGAGTGTGTTGTGAATTATCTTGCAGGGACTGGTATTGCTTACAGTACAGGCACACTATGCTAGCCTGAAGCCACCCATTTGTGACATCTCTGAAAAAAATGCACATTGTGAAAAACTTGGTGGTAAGTATGAAGCTTTTTTGTACATTAGCCTCTACTTGTTGGCATTCGGAAGTGCAGGAGTGAAAGCTTCCCTGCCATCACATGGTGCTGATCAATTTGATGAAAGAGACCCCAAAGAAGCAAGGCAACTTTCCAGCTACTTCAACGGTTTATTATTAGCTGTTTGCATTGGTGCTGCATTCAGCTTAACCTTTAATGTGTGGATACAAGACAATAAAGGATTTGATTGGGGCTTTGGGATATCAACCATTGCTGTAGTTTTGGGCACCATCATCTTTGCTTTTGGGTTGCCAATGTACCGAATTCATGTTACAAAAACAACAAGTGGTATCATTGAGATCATACAGGTATACACACCTCCATGTTTTATTATGCATACATTATACTTGCATGACAACAGAAATAAAGTTAAAAAATGGATGTAAATGCAGTTAAATATGTGTTATATTTAAGTGGTTGTAGCATTCAGTTCAATCCTACAAGAGGAGTTAAATTTTTTTTTCTCAGAGTAGGAAGTTCTTGATATCTTTGTCTACTAAGCTGAAACTTTGACCATTCATGGCCTAGTTTTTGGAATCAGAAGTTACCTTGTACTTCTAGTGCTTTTACAATAAAGACTAAGTCACACCAATTAAGTTCTTATCATTATGGCAATGCTTTATTGCTTTATCAATGATAGACTCTCATGGAAATTTTTTTTACCAAAATTTAAATTTTGTATTTGGATGAACAATGGAAAGGATTTCACCTAATTTGAAGTGTATCTTCTCATTGGCTAGCATAGTTGAAGTTTTTAAGCTCCACGTGGCATTGATCAAGATGTTTGTTTTAATTTCTTCACATTAATTTTCCAGGTCTACATTGCTGCAATTCGCAACAGAAACCTTCCCCTTCCTGAAGATCCTAGAGAACTATACGAGATTGAACAGGACAAAGAAGCTGCAGTGGAAATAGAGTATCTACCTCATAGAGATATATTGAGGTTCAATACTCATGCCTAAAACTAATAATATATATGTGACTTGATCATAGCTCAAGTACTAAAAGTGATGCATGGTTAGAGAGTAAAAGGTCTTAGATTTGATCTTTTATAAATATAGAAGCTACCTATGCTAACACTATAAAATATCACTCCAATTCCAATGCATCTAAATTGAAGCTCCCTTTGCACAGATTTTTGGACAGAGCAGCCATCCAAAGAGAATCTGATGTGCAACCTGAGACACCAGAGGCTCCAAATCCATGGAAACTATGTAGAGTTACCCAAGTAGAAAATGCGAAGATCATTCTAAGCATGGTCCCAATACTCTGCTGCACAATTATAATGACCCTTTGCCTAGCACAACTCCAAACCTTCTCAGTCGAACAAGGATACACAATGGACACAAGCATCACCAAACACTTTCACATCCCACCAGCATCTCTATCAATCATCCCAGTTGTCTTCCTAATCATTATTGTCCCTTTCTATGACCGAATCTGTGTACCTCTTCTACGGAAATTCACTGGTATTCCCACTGGCATTACCCACTTGCAACGCATAGGAGTTGGCCTAATACTCTCTTCCATCTCTATGGCAATTGCAGCAATCATAGAGGTGAAAAGGAAAGGAGTTGCTAGAGACAACAACATGATTGATGCTTTGCAAGTGGTTCAGCCATTACCCTTAAGTATATTCTGGCTTTCTTTTCAGTACTTTGTATTTGGCATAGCTGACATGTTTACCTATGTTGGGCTTCTTGAGTTCTTCTATTCAGAGGCACCAAGAGGGCTTAAATCTACATCAACATGTTTCCTTTGGTGTTCTATGGCCGTTGGCTATTTTTTAAGTGCCATATTGGTACAAACCGTCAATGGTGTCACCAAGAATATTACTGCAAGTGGAGGCTGGTTAGCAGGGAACAACATTAACAGAAACCATCTCAACCTGTTCTACTTGTTCCTTTCCATACTGAGCTTGATCAACTTCTTTGTTTACTTGCTTTTTTCAAACAGGTACAAGTACAGGCCTCAAGGCTCTATAGTTACAGATGGGAATTCCGAAGAGTGAATTTAAGGACAAAAAGATTAAAAAAGAAAAAGAAAAATCGTGGGTTGTACTTTTCTTTATTTGTCAAATGTATGTGAGAAAATATAGTTCTGTATGTTTCTTGTAAATTCTGAAGTTAGAGCTATCCAACATCCACAACACCTTGTCAGACATATTTGATTTTTATTTTTCATTTCTTTTCACCTCACCTTATGTTCTTGAACATATCAGATGATAATAAGATTTACGACATCTTTGAATACGATTTCTAAAATTAGTTTCTTTAATTTTCGAAAAAAAAAACACGTTTTATAAGGTCTATTTTATTAAAAAAAATAAAATCAATCTCCGTTAAACCCGACTACCGAGTATGAGATGGAGAAAATACGAGTGTGGAGTGAAAAAATTCTTGTACCCAATCTTACTCTTACATAATTGCAAAGAAAATCAAATTTAAACAATACGTCTGAATTATTTGTGTTTTGTATTTTAATTTTTAACTTAAAAAATAAAAAAATAATTTTAAAAATAAAAATTATTTTTAAAAATAAAAAAATATATTTTACATAACTATTTTACAAAATAAAAAAATAACCCAATGAAACAGATATTACTTTTTTTTTTGAGGTTACAAGAAATTGAATACAACACCCTACACTACACACACTCCTAACACACACTACCCACACCACTGGGCTAACCCTAGTGGTGCTGAAACAGATATTACTTTCTTAAAATGATGTCTATTATGCTTACCAAAAAAAAAATGATGTCTATTATTATTTGTTACCGTTTCTAGTGGAATCATTTCAGTGTCTTAATCTGGACTTACAATATCATTTACTTACCGAAAAATCTCATCAAAGTAAATATTTCACATTATCATCAAAATCTAATATTATTATATAAAGTAAAGTTTTATGTTACGTGTTATCTTGACAAATAATTTTTTTTCTTTCTTTCCAAGATGTTAGCTTCTTACATGAGTAATAATTAATCTATCTCTTCTTACAACTGTTTTACAATTAGTATGTAATTAATGGCCTTTAAACTTCAACGTGTATATTTTGTACAAGTCTTATTTTTTTAATTTTTCATTTGAATTGAATCATTGTCCATCATGCATATTTCTTTTTCTCCAAATGTAGATTTCATTTTGCAACTCTGTCCAATACTCGAATACTAATTTAGTTTTTAAATAAAAATATCTTACACTTTTTCAGTTCATCAGAATTAAATATAACTTATTTGCTAACAGTGGTATTCAATTTCATAGAATTAAGTACACAGTGGAGAATTTTCATATTCACTTTTATTAAAAAAAAATAGAAATTAAAAAAATAAACAATGAAGCATCTTTAGAAAATATACATCCAAAGCTCAAAACAAAACAATAGTTATTGTTTCTATGAGGAATATATTATTTTTTATATAGTTTTGTATACATAAATAAATGATGTCAAACAAATTTTCAAATTAAATTATCATGAATATGATTAACGAAATTATAATTTTAATGTATGCATTAAAATTATTAGAGGCGTTATTAAGTAGTATTGTAAAAGGATTTTAAATTAAAAGATTAAAAAATTAATTGAAAAAGATTTAAAAAAAAAAAGCATGAAATAGTTGAAGATAGGGTATATTCTTATTGGGTTTTATAAAAGTTATCTCGTAGAAAAAGTGATTGTGTAATGTTACAGAGATTTGTTTTTACGTGCTTTAATTTTTTATTTATTTGTTTGTTTTAAAAAATGTGGACCCCACAAAATGTTGTGAGAGTAGAAAAATTTGTTGTGTTATGTTAAAAGATAAAACTATTAAAAAAAAAAAAAAGATAAAACGAAAACTCATTCTTATTCTTATTCTCATGGTTCAAGCAAAGGATAACGCAACCCTTCCTTGTTGTAAATTCATCTGATCGACCTTTGGATTCCGATTTCGATGGCAACCCAAGAAGGAACTGTGATTGATCCGAAGCAGAAGAAGGAGTGGTATTCGGTGTGGGCGATTCCACCTGAAGACGAGCGTGCCAGATTCACCAAATTGATGAGCGCCCTCCGATCGGAGTTCGATGGGCCCCAGTTCGAACCCCACATCACCGTCGTCGGAGCGATCAGCTTGACCGCCGATGAAGCCCTCACCAAACTCCGATCGTCCTGTGAAGGCCTCAAGGCTTATAATGTAACCGTTGATGGCGTCGCTACTGGCACTTTCTTTTTTCAGTGTGTTTATCTCCTCCTTAATCCTACCCCTCAGGTTTTCTTTTTTTCTTTCTCTAAATTTTTCTGTTATTTATTTATTTATTAATTAATTAATTAATTATTATTTGTGATTATTAATAGATTTATTTGTGATGTGAAACTTATTGCCAGGTAGTGGAAACCAGTACACACTGCTGCAGCCATTTTGGTTATAAGAATTCGACTCGTAAGTTACACATCTTGTTTCTAGCAAAAAAAAATTATTTTTTTTTCCGTTTGTTGGTGAAAAGTGGTTTATATAAAATGATAGAGCTTTTTGGGACATTATTGGATTTTATTACGGGGGGAATGATCTATTTACAAATTTTTTTGACAAATTTTTATAAATTACACTATCATCTCTCTAGAGAAAAACATAGTGAAACCTAGCCGAAGACAGTGTAGTTTATAAGAGTTTGTAGATAAAAAAATTTGTAAATATAACCAGCCATTTTTACTATTGATACATAAAATGCTAGTAAATCAGTTAGTTTGCTTTATAAGCAAAAATCATATTACTGCTTTGGTAAATCAATCAGAAAATTTTCACTGAAATAAAGTATTTACTATGAGTAGTTACATATCAGTTTAAAAAAAATAAAAATGTGTTAGAGAAATATATTATTAAACCATTAATGGATACTCACCTAATTTAGTTGAATTGATTCCTTTACAAATTGAGTTAAAACTTTGTACTCTGATGAGGAACATATACCGTCAAGGGTGAAAGCTATTTTGAAGAGAGAAGATGTATTGTATCCATTGTCTACCCAGAAGTGACATTCACCTCTTGCAAGTGTTTGAAAATTAGAGAGCCTCTTTAGTTTACAAGTTATAGTGATTTGAGTAGCAGTAGCATAGTGTAAAAGATAAGTAGGTGTAAGTGTGGGTGGTGGATTCATAAATATGGTTTTTGCCTCTTCTTCTTTACCAGTGGATATCTTGTTTAATTGTGCAGCTTACATGCCACACTTAAGCCTTCTGTATGGAGATTTGACTGATGAAGAGAAGCAAAAGGCTCGAGAGAGAGCTAATATACTTGATGATAGTCTCAGTGGCTTGAGCTTTCAGATAAGTCGGCTTGCATTATACAAAACAGACACTGAAGACAAAACACTGAAATCTTGGGAGAAAATTGGTGAATGTACTCTTAGTCCAAATTAGCTTGTCACCTTCAATACTAATTTCAAGCTGTTGTGTACAGCAATAAAAGAACTTTGTTGACCTCTAATATTATCTTTATAAACTGTTTGTTTTGTACCTTTGCATTTTATTTTTTAATACTCTAGCTGTTCGCTTGGTCTTTCTACTGTGTGACAATGAGGAAGAAGACACTAATACCTTTATTTGTCTCTCTGCTGCTCATATGGAGCTATGGACAAATTTAAAATAAGATAACAAAGCTGTCTGCAACCTATATATGTGGTAAATTTTCTACTTTTTGGCCACTTATCCGATGGTAAGAATTTGCGAAGACATTTATCTGCATCAATTTTGCAAATTGACTAATATGTTCGAGTGGAGCAGGACCACAAGGGAAACAAAACTCTCCCTATCAAGTTTTTAACACAACTATGTATCCACTATCCAGGTGATCCAAATGCTTAGTGGTACAATAAGAGTTGTGTTAGTTACACATGTATAATAAGTTTTGCTGTAATAATATACACGCAAAGTGCAGTTATTTGTAGTTTTGCTGTAATAATAAAATCAGAGGTGCATCTTATAGGATAAAGTGCTTAATTATAATCATTGATTGAAAGATTTGTAGTTGAGATTGTGATAAAATACATGCACATCTGGAATAAATTATGAAGTTGTTAAAATCAAAACGGTTATAACTTCACAATATATTACTAATGTGCACCCTTCACTGTAGAGTTGCCAAATCTAACTAAGAAATGTGCACTAATCCTTGTGCATGAACCAAAGCAGAGTAACGCTGATAAGATCTCAGTGCACATACTAGCACTACTCATGTTTTAGTGAAACGTATGGCCAGTCATGCTTTTCATAGCATATTAGCATTCAGAAGTCTTTTATTCTAGGAGATGAGAATTTTGAATGAATCTGTCAAATTATTGGCTGCAGCCGCATGGCAGAGTTATTGCTAGCTGCCATAATACAGCAGTTAAACATCTCACGGTATTGGGAGATTATTGGGTTTCTACGTTTAAGCATAGTAAGAGGATCTTGCATTAGAGAATTAACGCATGCACCTTACAGATTTGGACTTACTTGGGCAAATCTGTCTTCTAGAAAGCCCATCATAAGATTGACTTAGCCATTGAGTTTTATATGGATAGAAGTGGCTTTTGAGTAGTTAGACATTCTTTGGGGCCATGTAACTTTCTGTCTTAAACCACCATGCTTGGTATCAAAGGGAAACGGAGAGAAACTGTGAGCATTGGAAATATCATTTATTATGATCCCTCGGGTGACATACAAATGTGCCAGGACAAGCATAATGGTTTATGTAAGCAAAACAATACTTGTTAAACATTTCCAATCTGTTCCCAGGTTAATGTTTCAACATCAACATGGGATTTCTTTCGGGGGTGGGGTCCCCGTTCCAGCTACAGATGACTCTATTAGCAAAATGGTAGATTTTCTGCATTCCAAATCCAAAAGAGAAATCAGTATTACATAAGCATCAGTCTTCTACTCTTCTTTGTTTTATTATTTCTTTCTTCTTCTTTTTTGAATGTCTGTTTCCATCTATAATTAAGGTGATAAAATCATTGATCCTCAGATGCCCTTTTATACAACTGAATTAAACTACTTCTGTTAATTCTCTGAACCACTAGTGAAACCTTACACTACAGAAAAACATCATAGGTAAATATCACATTACAAATACGGGCATAAACTTTCTATCATAAGATAAAGAAGCACTCAATTTTTTCCAGTTCTGTGATCCAACAAAGGAGTGGTCACAGAGGACCCTCAGTTTATCGTCCACATCCTTTTGGGTCAATGAATTTGGACCCATCAAAAGCAAAAGGCGAAAGGTAACAAAGAAATATGACGTAGACAATGGACAGCAGAATTGTACTTCAAATGGGAATTAAAAGCGTCTACCAGTTACCATTGTGGTTTTCTTTAGAAAAAGGATGGGTAGGGACAGAACATGAATCACCCTAGAGTAGAGTGGGATAAGGACATAAAGATGTTACCTAGTATAGCTGGAGTTCTTTATGTTGATCTTCAATATTATCAGGCTTTACTTGGAAAAAAATAAATAAAAAAAAGGACTAGTGACTTTTGAGGATAAAATGTCTCACAAGCTGCATAATTTTTTTGGTTACAAGGAGGGCATGGAGGTTTTTTTTAATTTATGGCCACCTCCAAACTATCTAAGTGTATAGGCTCAACATTGTATGCTTATTTGACTATGGTGTTTGGAGGATTTTAGTGATATCTTAAAATGTATTCAATAAGTTATCAAGTCCGAGAATTAGTTCTGATAGAGAGTGCTTAAACAAGAGCAAGTTTCTTGCAGTCTTCCCATTCCTTGAATTCAATTCAGTTCCCATTTGAGCTAAACTTTATATTTAAGCATGTGGGAATGAAAGCTACCACTTGAATCTGTTGAAATCATACAATTGCTTGACGACAAAAAAAGGTGAGATTGTAATTTGTAACAACCTATATACAATGCATTTATGAGATTAGGTCTTGCATTGAAGAACTGCAACAAGTAGCATCATATGAAAGCCCATTAGAGAAAAATGTAATTGTTTTGTGGTCCCCTTCTGCAGAGAATATATTATCGTCCACAATGATCAAAGTCTAGTTGTGGAGGAAGGGACGGGGCAATTAGGTAATAGTACTATTAACAAAGTGCAATTTCTCATATCCTTTCAAAACAAAAACTGAAATTGCAAGGTTTCAATAAGTCATATTTATTTGACTACCGTTACGTCTATCTCGAAACTTTATTGGATCTGATCATCAAACACACATGAGAAAACTCTTGAGACTTTGCTTTATTCCTCAAGATAGCATGGTGTGCACTTTATATACGCATTGTAAACAACAATGATCAAATAAAACATATAATATGCACTAAATATTCAAAATAATTCACCAAAAACTATCAGACTCCGCCACTCGTCTTGAGGTGGGAGTGGGCATCTCCCCCGTACTAGAGAGTCACTTCTTCCCGACAGACCGGTCAACTAACCCATTTCACAACCCGACGCATACATTTGCATTTTGGCACCAGTATCAATAATCACATATACGAATTTGACCATAATATTGAGTAATCTGGACACTTCTAATGCGAGATTGAGGCTCAATATTCCAAGTAAGGCCCAAAATCATTGCTTAACCTAGAAACAAACGCGTTGCATACAATTGAACATCTCCAACGAGCACTGAGCAGATGACCTGGAACATAGCGTGATCAGCTGCTCAAAGCAAATAGGCCATCGCGTGATTCAATAATCACACGTCAGCACCTACTTGCCACAAACATATTCGAAGACGTAACCTAATATACTAGGCTACCCCTCTCCACTAGAGGTGGCAAAACAGACTCGATTCAACGGGCCAACCCGTCCCACCTGTCTAATGGGGCGGGGCGGGCTGAATTTTCAACCCATTTCAAATGCGGGGACGTGACGGAGCAGGCTCATTTTTTGGCGGGTTGATGATGGATATAGGCGGATTGAGGCTGGCAGGCCAACCCGCCCAACCACCAAAACGGACGGGACAAACTGATTCATTTTTTGACGAATTAATGGCAGAGTGGAGCGGGCCGCCCACTTTGCCACCTCTACTCTCCACCAATGAGGTTGGTCACCATGACACAAAGGCAACATAAAAGGAGGTACCCTTCTACTATAAATACCGCAATATTCAGCCTTAGCATGATCATCTCTGTTTGACTAGAGAAGCTAGTAAAGACACTGAATCATAGCGAACCTCTGATCCCTTGAATCTCTCCTCCTCCAATCTAGAATCGTCTAAATAATCTCCAAATCATCTCGCGTAAACTCTCCTGATCTCGCCAAAACTCTCTTCATTACGATAGACACCTTTTTCCACCTCTCTCCGTCAACTTTGCCGCACTCAACTGTGTGTAATACAACCCAATAGTTATTGAATAGATCACTAAGAAATTTTGAGTTCTATAATCAGTTAATCACATATACTAACGTATACGTATAATTTCTCAATTTAAGTTCCAAAAAAAAAAAAAAATCCCAATGCGATTACTGCCCAATAGTTTGAAAAACAAGTATATATTTTAAGGGGAAAATGTGTATTATTTTAAAGGATGTAAAGTTGTGTCATGTTAAAAGAAAGAAAAAGATAGATAAAGGAGGAGAGAGTTGACAAAAAAATAAAGGTATGGGTCTCATCTCTTTATGAGAGTGAAAAGATATAAGTTGTGACATTTAAAATGATAAACTTTTTCCCCAAATTTCTATGAAATAATTGTTGAAATTAAAATAATAAATCATGCACATGATTATAAAATACCAAATAACAATAAATTAGAGTTATAATTATGTGTACCTTGTTGGGCCATCACAAAGTGGGAGAAGAACCGTAGGAAATGAGGGAACAAGATGCTAGAATCTTTCTCTCTATTGCCTATTCAGAGATTAGCATCCTTCAGCGATGGGATCATGGGGCTTAATCCCAATATAAATAGGTTAGAGAGAGGACCTAGTCAATAATCCAGAAAAGAGTCTGGGTCCACCCATCATAGAAAACCAGGGTCACACTAAAGCCTACACTGCTGCCCAACTAGGCTCAATAACAACATATGCTAGAAGCTCAATTCAATATGATCACTATGGGCTAGTTACAATAATAATATTAAAATATTTATTAACCTGATTAATTTTAAAATACAAAACTAATTAATTAATATGACCTACAAATAAATAAAATTTCTAACAATAATAACCTCAGTTATCAGTTATGACATGAATACAAAGTCTACATGCATGCCATTTATGACAAAATTCATATACATAATTCAGTTCTAAATCATTTATGTATTTAAGCGCAGGTACCAAATATTTGAATATTTTCATTAATATATTTTATTGGGATAGGAGTGACACCCAAGTTATGTTACACCCCATGTGACATCCAGTCAATCTCACCGTTAGATCGCTTATGTTGATCCAACGGTTATATTTATTTCCATCTTTGTATGGTCATGATTTCCCAAATTTAATATTTTATATTTATTTCTACCTTTGTATGGTTATGATTTCCCATATTTAATGCTTTCA